CCCCCTGTCAGCCCAAGGGAGGGGATCAGTAACAGGGCGGCGTACTTCACCTTGTGACGGCGGCCCTCGTCGGGGTGGTAGCGGTACTCGCGGTGGATGCGCTGGCCGAGGCTCTCCGCTACCCCTTTCGTCATCGCGTCCTCGCTCCAGGAGTCGCGGAGCTGCTTGACGCCCCACGGGGCCCGCCGGCGGACCTTCCAGGGGGTCGCGGAGGGGGGGGAGGGCTGCGCGCGGGGGGGGGGTCGTCCCCGAGCGCGGGCCACTGGGGGAGCCCCTGGAGGACAGGTCTAGAGGGCCCACGGTGTGGGCCTGTCTTTGGCAGGACCCTGTGCCGAGGCTGGGCTGGCCCAGGCCCGCGGTCCAACACGGACGTACGGGAGGCGATGGTGTGCCCGGGGCCAGACGCCGAAGCACATAGAGCTGCATAACCCTTCCCAGCTCACCTAGGCTTCGGGGTTGAGAGGGGGGGAAGGGGAAAAGCAGACGGGGAAAAGGGGAGGGATGAATTCGGAAAGGTCAATCAATAATGAATGGTCAACTACAAAACGCATAGAATACGTAAAAAATATATGGAACTCATATTCCGTCGATGTTTGTGAATAAATGGGTGGGTAAAGGATTCTCAATAAGAATTAATCGTAGCTATGACGATTTCGTAGGACTTGGGAACTCCCGTAGTTTGGCTCACTGTGCTGTAAATAATTTTGGTATTATGCTTCTCAGAAGAGAGAAACTGAAGAACACCTTTTGATAAAAATCACATTTAAAGAGTGTGTATGTAGGAAGGCGGGAGGGGGGGGATAAGCGCTCCTACCCTTCTTTCGCTCAGAGTGCTTACTAGTCTTTTCTCTAGCTGCGGCAGTTGCAGTGAAAAGGTAAGAAGTGGGATAATGTACAAGTCTTTGGAGAACGCGGTCAGGGGACATTTTTTGGCTTTCGATCGTGGCCGCGACACGAGCGAAACCCCCCCTTTCTAATGAGCTGCTCAATTTCCTCAGCTCTACCAGTTAACGGTAAAAATGCGGACGCAGAAGAAAAGGGAGAGACGGCGTGATCCTGAGGGCTCGGCATATTTAAGCGCAGAACATCGAGGAAATTACACCGCAGCAAGTGAATGGGTTCACTAACCTGGCAGCACGCCTCACATCTACCCCATTGAAAAGAAGCCAGTTGAGCTTCTTCACCCTCCATGCTCGAGGTGTCCTTCCCACCCACCAGACGATGAAAGCAAAAGCCATCGGCGCACTTCACGCGTTCAGCGGTAGGAAGCCATGACGCGATCGGCACTCCCTCCTACAATACCTTTACCTCTGCAATATTCGACGTCGCGACTAAATATCGAGAATCGAGATCACCCACGTGGACCTCACAGGGTACACCTAAACTGGTGAAAACCGTATCCAATAACGTCCGTGGTGTTCAAGATCTAATCCATTCCTACGGGATCAATTAAACCGTACCTTCGTTTCCTTACAGTCGGTATTCCTTACGTAAATGTCGAACGAAATGAAAGGGTGGTGAATAATATCATTGAGGAACTCCAAAACGGCTCAACGGAAAACACACTCACAGATAGCGGAAAATAGACTTAAAAACATCACTTCATTACAGAAAAGTACATTATCATGAAGAGAAAAAAAATTATTCCTTTTAGGTGAAATAATCTACAAAACAAAAACACACGATTTTTATATTTATAATCACTGATTTATAATTTACCTATAGATGAAGTAATATAAAGACGGAATATTTATTCAAATTATCTAGACTTCTTTTTCCCTTCCTTTTTAGGTTTGCCTGTTTTCAAGATGATATACATAACTGTAATGAGTACAATAATCATTATCATAACCACACATATCACAAGAGCATAAAGTAAAAGACTATATTCAATATAAAAAGGTTTTTCATGAAAAGGCGTATCGCGAACGCTTATAACATAAATTTTAGGATTTTTTCCAATGGTTTTGGCATGCTTCTGATAAATCAACTCGATTTCAGTACAATTTAGCAACAACATCATGCTGTTCGCCTCAAATTCATCATAAAGATGGAGCCCTTTCTTGTTAGATTCCTGTGTAATGATAACATGGATACGGATGGCGGCTTTATCGCCCTTTGTATTCTCAATCAAGCTCGTTGTCAACGGTTCGAGGCGTTCGATTTCCACCTTGATAGTCTCAAACATTCGGTAGAACAATGTGATAATGCTTTCTTCCATTGCCTTGGTAAGTTCCGACTGAGCAGTGGCCATAACCTGCGTCCAGTCCTCGTAGAAACCTGATAAAAACACCTCATAAGAGGTCACCAAAGTGGCGAAGACATCAACGATATTCGGCGAAGGCTCTAACACCTTTCTAAAGTAGTATTCTTTTGGTATGACATTATCGTACTTTGACATACCCCCAGCCGTGATAAGACCTTGTATGACTGTATCAATATGCTTTGCAGGTTTGTCAATGAAAATATCCGGTTTTGCCTTATCATAATTGCTTGATGAATATTTAATTCGAAGTTTAGGTCCAGATGTATCAATAAAATTTATATTAATATTTACTTTGGGGTCATTGACGGTATCTTCCATAGACTTCAAAATGCCATTAAGAACTATGAGTTTCAAATTCTGTTGTTTTAGTATAGCATCCCAAAAAAATGTACAACCATTTATATCAATTTCAGAGTCAGTAATTGAACCGGAAACAAGACTTATAGATGAAAAATTACATAACAACATAATAAAAATCAATGAGGGAAACATTGTATTTTTATACATTTGACCCAAATCACTACTCAAAATTAATTTTTTTTGCTTAAATCGGTTTTGCGAAAGGGTGTGTATAGTGATGTTTATGTTTGAAAACACTAATATTAGTTCAGCTTAATATTTCACTGAAGAGGATTATCTAAAATAAAATGACCTTAACAAAAAAAAATGTGTATCAAAAGATATATTGGTATTAAACTTGCTAATAGTATGAGTAGAGGGTCGGTACAAAAAGCGATAATAAGGAGTATCCATTCAAGAAGATGAATAGCTTACGCACGTGCACTAACATGTACTAGACAGTATGTAGCGAAAGAATAAAAAAGATCACACTTTCCACACATATATAAATAACGCTAAATGTATCTATATTATCTTCAGTAAATTAATGGTATCTATTTCATTCTAATTTTTCTTTAAGCCTTTCTCCATCATTCCATTGAAAAGCATAACCAACGAAATATGTAAAATAAAAAGGAAAAGTTACGATCGTAAAATTGGTCTTTTAAATTAAAGGAAGAGTCTTGTAAGCCAACTTCTGAATAATCCCTTCATGTTGAGGGCACATAGACATGAGCTGCTCCTGTGTGAACAGCTCATAATCACGATAGTCAAAGCCAGGACTCACAATGCAGCTGAGGAGAGTATAGCCTGCCTTACCACCATCCGCAAGCGTACTCCCAAAGATGGTCCCAGCGGGTACAGTGTATTGAAAACGCTCATCCTGATCGGCGTTAGGTCCTACCTTTACACAGTGGTACTGCTGATAAGTCTTCTCGGGTTTCTCTTGCGTGCACGCCTCCTCCTTCCGTATCTGGACATGCGGAGGCGTTAAGGAACTGTTCGCGTGAAAGTGCTCTGGGTCCAGCCGTGGCACCTCCCCAGCTGCTTTGCCCTCACAAGCGGAAATAAGATCATCATCGTCGTCGTTTCGGTAGATAACATGTACGTCGAGTGGGTCACCTGCGTGCCAAGCCCACACCTCGTCCGAAGGCAAACGGTGAAAATGTGAAGGGCTTTTGTCGGTAAGCAAAAAGTAAATGGAGGTGTAAGCGAAGCGATGCTTACCAATCTGATTTGTCACAACATAGTTGGAGAGTGTGACCTCACGAAAAAAACCACCCTCAGGATGAGGCTGGAGCTTGAGGTGGTTTATCCAATACTGAGCATCTGGGTGCGCCACTTGTTGCTTGTCGTTGTCGTTCATCTGATACTTTTCCAAAATGTAATGAATTTATGATTGCTATCTCTACAGGAATTAGTTCTAAAGGTAAAAATAAAAAGCATATCACTAAAAAAAAGTACAAGATAACAAAATAAAATGTCAACATCTCTCTCTCCCGATATATATCGATATTGACTGCTCTACACCTCCCTGATTCATAGAAGGGTGGGTGGAAAAAGAAAGCTCGTAAAGTCACCCTCCCCTCTCCCTCTCTGTGTAGTCTCATTCATCCGCATTTGATAAAATAATTTTTTTGACAATGGAATGTGAAGGAAGTATTATGAACTTTTGAATCAAAGTCCTGACGTTTGCACCAATCAGGTCCCTGACTCTCCAATAGCGCTGTCTCCCCCCCCCCCCCTCCCCTTCATAAGCGTCCTTCCAAGCCCAGACGCATCTCGCGCGCTTTCATTCTATTACCCTCTTTAGCAGATCTTGCACAACTTTTCCTTCGTCTCCCTTGTCCTCATCATTCCTGGGCAATGCATGGGTTTGTATAGCCTCACGGATCTCATCCGCGAGGGCTAGCAAATCGGCGGAACCTGCATGTTGGGAGAGCATTGCCTCGAGCAGGTGGTAGCGGCCAAGCAGCCATGCTGAGCTGGCCTCATGCCCCGCCTCGTCGTGTAGCGTCGCGCAGGCCAGCAGAAGGCTGAGGCGAAGGGGCTCCAGAGTGAGACCTCGGTGGGCCGCCGTGAGGGCATCGCGCAAACCGTCCCCAGCGCGTGCGCGGCGCAGCAGCATCGCCAGCGTTTCCCAGGGCGCCGCGGCATGCGGGAACTCGTCCATCGCGGCGAGGCAGAGACAGATTCTCTCCCTCTCCCCCTCCCCGGCAGGGTC